GTCTCGCGATGTTCTCCATGGTTATCTTTGTGTTCATCTTCCTGTCTACCCTGCGCCTGAGCTCAGGCCGCCATCGATCGATGACCTCAGAGCTGCCCTGCGCAAGGGCAAACCCAGTGCGCCTGGCCCAGACAGGCTGCCCTACCGTGCGTGGCTGGCCCATGATGATGCGGTGGAGACTCTTTATCTGGTCATGTTAGATATGTTCAGCGGTATTGGCTGCCCATCGGGCTTCAATCATCACTTGTTGTGCTTCATTCCGAAAGATGAGCGGCCAGAGGACCTGATCGATCTTGTGCGGGCTCCTGAAGAGCTAAGGCCGCTTGCCCTGAAGAACACGGACTCAAAGGCCATCGCCAGTACCATTAATGTTCAGTTACGCACCATTGCGGAACAGAGATGCCACCATGTCCAGCGCGGCTTTGTCCGTGGAAGACAGCTTACCACCCACATCGCGGAGCTCGACACGTATGCGCGCATGGCTGGTGGACATATGTATGCGAGTGACCTCAAACCTGTCTTCATTTCGTTTGATGTATGTGCTGCCTTTCCATCGATGAGCTGGGTGTGGATTCAGATTGTACTGGGCTATCATAAGATCGCCACGGGCTTTCTCATGGCCACTCGAGCACTGTATCATGATATGCAAAGCTGGACTTGGTGTGGTGAGTCCTTGCAATTTCTCTTTCATGTATCGGCGGGGGTGGCCCAATGCTGCCCACTTTCTGGTTCCTTATGGGCGTTGACGTTTGACCCCTTCCTGCACCATCTGTGCAATGGCAATGTGGAGGGCTACGGAAGTGTGAAGGCAGCTGATGGGTTCGATGTTGGCAATACTGGCTACCCGATGGCGACTGGCCCTGGTGAGATGGCGCCTTTGATTGCTGGATCATGTGCGGATGACGTTGGTGTGGTACTACCTGCACTGAAGGAGGTGACGCGCGTTGCGCCCGTGTTTGCAGCTGCACAGGAGTTGGCGCACTTGCGCCTGCAGAGCAAGAAATGTTTCGTCGTGCCGCTGTGGACCCGTGCATCCCCTGAGGTGCACGACCTAGTCGGGTCCCGCCTTCGGTCTTTTGCTCCGGCCTTTTCGGCCTTTCCCATCAGGGGCCGTGCCAAATACCTGGGGATGCAGTTCGGTCCCGAGGCCACGCTCGAAATGCAGTGGGAAGCGGCAAGCACGAAGCTCGCACATCGAGCGCGCCTTGCTGCTTCGACGCGGGCGCCTGCAGAAGCATCTGCGCGGCAGTACAACTCCTGCTCTCTTCTGGTCCTGTCTTACCTCGTTCAGTTCTTTCCCCTCCCCTCCTTCTTCCTCCGGAGGGATCAATGGCTGCTGCACAAGCTCCTGCGGCTCCCCCCAAACACGTTTAAGCGTGATGAGATCCTAAGCCTTCATCAGTGGTTCCCTGGATCGGCGCCTGCGGCGATGGCGGTTCTTGGTCGTTCTGCTGCGTGGCGGTTCGGGCTTCACACGTGGACGAAGGCCAAGGATTTCACACTTCTCTTGAGAGAATGGCATGTGTGGCATGGTGCAACTGTGCGTCATGTCCGAGAGGAATGGTCTCCGCGGTGCTGGGCCCAAAGTAGGTCGATTGCCCAATTTGTTCTGTCTGTCATGGATGCCTCCCCCTCCGCCGTTTTCTCTCGGACTGCTCTCCGAGAGGCGGAGCGGAGGATGGTGGAGGAAAGGCGTGCAGCTTTGGAGAGTGGAAGGCGACCTAGGATCCAGCGTATCCTCTCCCGCTCCCTTTCCTCGAGCCTCTTTCCTGACCGCCTCCACCTCCTCTTCCTCCGTCGCCTCCATGCCTGGTTCCCGTCCCTGGAGCTCCCCGCCCCCCGAGACTTGGAAGCGAGGTGGGCGCTCCTGAGGACGATTCTCTCGCGCTCCCAGCCCTCGTGGGCGTGGGCTCATTTGAAGAGTCTTGCAGGTGGATGGATCACGTCAGCCAGAATGCCTGTCCTCGTGCGCAGGAGCTGTCGCTTAGGGTGCGAAGGATGTGTGGACTCCCTTCCTCACTACCTCTGCTGCCCTCGTCTTCTCCACCTTCTGTCTCGTCATCGCCCTCGTGCTTTTCTCCCGCCCTGCCCCATGGCGAGGATTGGGCTTGGAGACGAGGGGCAGTATGACCGTCTCTTCTCGAGGGCGGACGCTCACTGTTTGGTGGTCCTGGCCTTCCACTTTTACCATAAACTAAAAGCAGAACAGGATGCTGCGCCTGGCTCTGCTCGTGATCTCGAATATCATTTGAAGATTCTGAGAGGTGCCAGAATTGCAACGGGCGCCTGAGATGGAGGATTGCTTTCCGAGGCACGTGCGCTCCTCCTCTCCTCCTCCTCCTCTTCTCCTCCTCCTCCTCCTCCTCCTCCAGGCGGAGCAGTAGCGCGAAGAGGCGCCCGGGCGGGGGAAGGCCGCGGGCCAGTAGGTCGCCGCTCCGAGCGGCGAGAAGAAGGGCGCCAGGGGGCTCCACCTGATCCCCCAGAGGGGGGTTCACATGCGGTCCACCGGCCCATTTCGGCACACCCTTCACCTTCACACGCTTCGTAACCGCATATGGGGGCTACACCTGAGCCCTCAGAGGGGGGGGGTCGCATGCGGTCTCCAAGCCAATCTGGCACACCCCTCACACGCATCGTGGCCCAATGGGGAGCTCCACCGAAGACCCCAGTGGCAGCGCCCGCATGCGTCCCCGGGCTCATTTCGGCAAACCCCTCACACGCTTTGTAGTTCCATCGGGAGCTCTATCAAAGGCTCCAGTGGCAGCGCCCGCATGCATCCCTGGGCCCATTACGGCACATCCTTCAAACGTTTCATGGCCCCGCAGGGAGCTCCACCGAAGGCCCTACTGGCAGCGCCCGTGTGCGTCCCTGGGCCAATTTCGGCACACCCTTCACACGTTTAGCGGCCCATAGGGAATTCCACCGATCAGCTGCGAGCGAGGGAGGGGGGAGTGAGAAGGAGAAGGCCTCCTCAGAAGGCGGCGAAACTTCTCAGAAGGCCTCCGGCCTTCTGAGAGGTTCTGGGCGTCTTCGGGGAAGGCTTCTAGAACATTTGTCAGAAGGCCGTGGGACATCCAAGCCTTCTGAGAAGGCCCGCCCCTTTTCACTTCCCCCACGGACTCGCCGCCGAACCGAGGGCCCCAGTGGCAGGGCCCGCATGCGCCCCCAGTTCCATTTTGGCACAAACCTCACACGTCTTGATGCTACACAGGGGGCTCCACTGAAAACGAGATTCACAAGTGCGGTGTTCACAATTTCATATGTCTGGGTTCTTCGCCGGGATACTTGCTCGAAGAGACAACTGTTCGAAGAGATTTTCCTCGGATCCCCCATGTGCACTGGTCTTCTTCCGTTCTTGCTTCTGAAGATGCCTTCTTCGGGTTCCCAGGGTTCCTTGGTGTTGCTTCTGCCCAGCGATGCAAGGCAATACCAAACGCCAAGCAACTCAAAGCAATGCCATGCAAAGCAATGCCAAACGCCAAGAAATGCCACCAGCAGGAAGCGTTCCCTCCGCTTGGGTCGCGCCGAGCTCATTCCCTAAGCGCCCCGTGCACACGGTGTACGGGCTCTGCATCCTTCTTGTAACGCCCAGTGGTGGACGCCAGGCCCCCGTCATCGGTGGCCCATCGTGGCCCCCGGTCGTGGCTGTGTAAACATCGAGGCAGAAGCAGGGGCACAAAGTGGCTACTCTGCGAGTCGTTGAGCGCGCCTGTCCAGCGGGGGGCGGGGAGTTCTTTGCAGGGGAGGGCCCGTCGAGGCAACGGTGCGGCCTGCGCTTAGACACAATCGGTTCAATCGATGGGGTCGCGGGCGCGCGAAAGGCCTTTCCGCGCGCACGCGACCATTGATTTCGAAGACGAAAAAACGCCACAAACATAAACAGTCGTGGATCCGCGCTGGAGCCCCCCTGGCGGCGCCCCCAGAGCCGCCCCTGGCTCGCTCCGCGCGCCAGGGAGGGGGTCCAGCCCAGATCCAAGGAATTTGCGTGGACCTCCACTAGTTTATGTGTGTATGCCGGTGTCTCTTCCTCTGTCTTCGTAGTTGAGTAAAGAGTTGCTTGGGGTCTTCTGCAGCAAGGGGGCACGGGGGTCATGGCCGTGCTTGGCCAGCGCTCTGTGCGAAGGCAGGTTCGGGCAGCAGCGAAAGGCAGGAGCAGAGGCGGCGGATTCGGCATCGCTGGTTCCTTCCTGCCTCTCCCCGCCATCATTTCGCATCAGCCTATTCATAAGGTGTTCCTCCCCCCTCTCCCTCTATATCTAACAAATATGAATTCTACTCTTCCTCCTCCCCTGAAGTAGTGCAGAAGATCTCCCCCCCTCCGCGTGTTGATTGTTTACACACAGGATTCCAAGCATTGATGTTTCTTCCTGTTTTTTTCCAATCCCATTGTTTTCGGTATTTCAACAGGGTGCTCCCGCTGAAGCGTTGGCCTCATTTTCGGATCGGCGCGTTGTTCCCGTCATTCAGAATGGCACTCTCGCCCCAGCGCGGGCCACTTTTCTGAATCCGAGTCTTGCTTCAGTGTTGTCCCTCCATCATTTCCCCTCCTCCGCCTTCCCCTGGTCCTTCTGTTCTGCCCGCTCCTTCCACTCCAATTCCTGCTGCTGCTGCTGCTGCTGTTCGTCTCATCACAACGCGGGCCACTTTTCTGAATCCGAGTCTTTCTTCATCCTTTTCCTCCCGCTCGTCCTCCTGCTCACCCGCCACCTCATCTTGTGCACGCAGCTCCACTGAAGTCCGATTGCGCAGAACACGAAGTAGTCTTTCTGTGTAAGTCGCAGGTCGGCCATGACGCACGTCCGCGGATAGAAAAAACTCAGCGCCACGGGAAGGAATGGGAGGGAGGGATAGGATGTCAGATGGGGCGTGGACGCACCTAGCTTGCCATTCTCCCCTCTCCTCCGTCCGCCTACTTCCCATCTGTCACCGCCGTGTGGATCTTCGCCCGCTGGCCCATCCGCGCATCTTCCCATTGCTCCATGGTGACGCCAATGTCGCAGGCCGCGGTGCGCGACGGCATGCCGATATCCAGCGGCAACGAGCTGGTGCGGCTCTACAAGGAGTCAGGCCTCTGCAGTCATCTGGCCTGCCCCGCTTACCTGCCCATGAGCTGTGCAAGGCACGCGCTAATGTCGAAGACGCTTGCGGCGAATCACCGCCGATCCCTGCTTTTTGGAACCGCCCATGGGGCCCAACGTCGGGCCGAAGTCTGGCCAAGCTATTGGACTGTGTGCTCCCCCAGCCGTTGTGGCCCCCCTTGGGGAACATGGGGGAGAGGAAGAGAAAATAGGAGGAGAGGGAGAAGGACGAGGAGAAGGAGGACGAGGAAGAGGAGGAGGAGGAGGACGAGGAGGAGGAGGAGAAATGAGGAGGACCAGGAGGACGAGGAGGAGGACGAGGAGGACGAGGAGGCGAAGAAGGAGGACGAGGAGGACGAGGAGGAGGACGAGGAAGACGAGGGAGGAGGAGGAGGACGAGGAGAAATGAGGAGGACGAGGAGAAGGAGGAGGAGGAGGAGGAGGAGGAGGAAGAAGAGGAGGACCCTTGAGGGGCTTCCTGGGTGCTTCCTGGGGCCTCATGGGGGCCTCTGGTGGGCCTCTGAGCTGGCCTCTCTTGGCTGGGGGGCGTGTCACAAAACCAACGCCTGGGCCCTCACAACACGAACCCCCGGCGTAGCCGGTCCGAGACCGTTGCGCCGCACGGGTGCCCCACGCTCCGCGCAGGGTTCGAGGAACATGCCTGGCCCCACAGGGCCAGGACAGCGGCCGAGGGACCAGTGGCGCAAGGGCTCAACCCCTCGGCCTCTCCGTCCTTGGGGGTGAGCCTGCAACTCTCCGAGCCGAGTCCAACCGTGGCGACGCCGAAAACTACCGGCAAGTAGCAGGAAGGAGAGGAGGCGGAGACAAAGAGACGGATGATGATGATGATGATGATGATGATGATGATGATGATGATGATGATGATGATGATGATCATTATGATGATGATGATGATGCTGATGCTGATGCTGATGATCATGCTGATGATGATGATGAGGATGATGCTGATGCTGATGATGATGCTGATGATGATGATGATTATGATGATGTTGATAGTTACTATGATGATGATGATGATGGTGATGATGATGATGATGATGATGATGATGATGATGATGATGATGATGACGACGACGATGATGAGGATGATGATGATGATGATGATGATAGTGATGATGCTGGTGGTGGTGATGATGCTGATGATGATGATGATTATTATTATTATTCTTCTTCTTATTATTATTATTATTATGATTATTATTATTATTATTATTATTATTATTATTATTATTATTATTTTTATTATTATTATTATTATGATGCTGATGACGACGGCGACGACGATGATGATGACGACGATTATGATGATGATGCTGCTGGTGATGATGATGATGATGATGAGGAGGAGGAGGAGGAGGAGGAGGAGGAGGAGGAGGAGGAGCAGGAGGAGGAGGAGGAGGAGGAGGGAGGAGCGAGAAGAGGGAGGAGGAGTAAGGAGAGGAGGGAGGAGGAGGAAGAGGGGGAGTGAGCATGAGGAGGAGGATGAGGAGATGATGAAGAGGAAGAGGAGGATATGAAGAAGAGGAGGTGGAGGAGGAGGACGAGGAGGAGGAGGAGGAGGAGGAGCAGCAGGAGGGACAGAACACGAGGAGGAATGAGGAAGTGGGATGGAAAGGAGGGCGGGGAAGGCCAGGGCTCCTGGCGGTTGCGCGCCTGCCTGGCCTCAGTATCGTAATTGACGACGTTGCGCGCAACGCTTCTTCACGTCGGGCTACAGTCAATCCGCGTAGTAAGGATGGGCAGCCTTCCCAAGGGTACCCTTGCATCCTTGCCCTTGGGCCCATCCTTAGCGATGTTCGCTGGCCAACCTCTTTCGAAACACGTTCACATGGGCCTCCAAGGCCCATGCATCCTTACCGCGCATCCTTATGATAAGGGTTGACTGTATAGCCTGCAGCGCCATTTCAGAGTTTGCGCGCGGATCACCCTCGCGCTCCCCGTGCAGGGGGTGGGCACTCGGTCGCGAAATGGTTTCGATGAAAGGAGGAGGCTATTGAGGCGGTGCAGGAGGAGGATCGTCGCCAGTGCGCAGCACAAGTGGCAACGCTCAGCGACGCCCAACTTCGAGAGCTGGCGCCTCAGGCACGAGCCAAACTGCAGCGTGGGCGTAGCGGCAAGCGTGCCCTGTGGCGTACGTGCGAGGAGGAGGAGGAGGAGGAGGAGGAGGAGGACCAGTGTAAACCCAAGACGAATCAACGATGTTGCAACATACCTTCCCTCCAAGTTCCTTCTCAACAGGGCCCTACGAGAGTTCATACCATATTTGGGGAAAGAGCCTCATTAGAAGACAACCGTCGCAGAACCTTGACTCGTGCCAAAACACCACTCCTGGGACTTCAGCGCCGCGAATCAACGTGACTGTTGCGTCCTGAATATTCTGAATCGTGCCAGAACGCCTTTTGTTGGACTTCGACTCCTCGAATCAACGTGACTGTTACGTCCTGGTAGTCGTAATTTTTGCCAGAGCACCGTTCCTGGGACTGAAAACCATGCGAGCCCTCGAAGCTGTTGCATACTTTTACAACGGATGTGCGAGGCCCGAAGGCGAGAGCCACATTTTGAAAAACAGCTGCCCTTCATTTTTGAAAATGCTGCAAGCTTTTCAGGCGAATGTGGGCGGCGCTACGGCGAGAGCAACATTTAGAGGACGACCCGTCCTCCATCTTTGAAGCTGCTGTAGGTTTTCGAAGCGAATGTGCCTGCGCTAGGCCTAGAGCCGCCTTTTGAAGACGAAACGCCCTCCGACCGTCATAATCATTTGCAAATGCCAAGCTTGAGGAAGTCTCCGGCCCAGCTCGCCCTACCCGCCACGTCTGGAGGCGCGACAGGGAGGCGATTTTTGAGGAAAAAAAGGGCGTGTAGGTTGAGGAGGAGGCAATGCCAGAGGCGAGTTCCTCCTGCTCCCGCCGCTCCCGGCCAGGCCTGGGCGGCCAGGCGTCCCTGTCCGTCAAGGCGGCGGACGCGGACGCCGTGAGGCGCCGCGTCGCCATCCCCTCGCTTGGGGCGATGGTGGGGAGCAAGGCGCGGCTGTCGAGCGGGAGGCAGGGGCGGGGAGGGCTGCTAAAATTGTCAATGCGCATGGAATCCCCGAGATGGAATCGAAAACATGAGAATAGCTGTAGAAATAACGTTTCGAACAAGCAGTGTTCAAAACAAGCAATGTCCCAAACAAACGAGAGTAAATCGAACAAATGAGAGAGTGCCCAAAACAAATGCAGTAATAACGTTTCAAACGTGATTCAAGACGCAAGCCGATCTCAGGCCGAGGGGGAGGGGAGGGCCCCGAGGTCCGGGCGTTGTCATCCTTTCACGCCAGGAGTTGTCGCCCCGTCTCCGGCCCCGCTGGGCTATCACGGGTCGATCCGGCTCGCGTTTAGGGCGTTGGTCGTGTTTTTTCGCGATGTTGCATGAGGGGGAGTGAGGGAGGGAGGGAGAAGGGGAGCGAGGGAGGGAGAGAGGGAGAAGGGAAGAGTGAGGGGGAAGGGAGGGATGGAGGGAGTTCTGTGTTTCTTCTCCCTCCTTCTTCACTCCCCGCCCTGCTCCTTCCCCCTCGTCGTCCCTCCTTCCTTCCCCCTCGTCGTTCTCTCTCCTCCCTCCTCTTGGTGCTCGTCGACTGCACTCATCGTCGCACCGGCCAGGAAGCCGCCCCGCGAGAGTGGCCGAAGGTCTTCGGCGGCCACGTCGTGAAACCTGCCACACAGGGGCGAGGAAGCATCCCAGGCGCGTGCACTCGTCTAGGCCTCACAGATGGGGTCCGAGTAGATGGGGTCGGAGAATCGCGCCGCATCGGCGATGCATCGGAGATGCGGCTCGATGTGGGGCCCGAATTTCTCCACGCCGACGTTGCCGATGCACCGCCGAAGTCGGCGATGCATCGCCGAAGCATCGCCGATGCGGCGCGGTCCTCCGACCCCATCTACCCGGACCCCATCTAGGAGGCCCTCAACTCGCCAAGTGGTCATAAGTGGTACTACCGAAGACACCTCCAGCGAATCATCGCTGGCCCCTGCCTTTGGAAGCACCCGTGTGGTGAAATGTCGAGCGATGGTGCGGCCATTCTGGTGGACTGCGTGTTCCCCCGGCGCTTGGGGGAACCACTGGGGGAGCACCGGGAAGGGGCCCTCTGCTGTCATCTCGGGGCTCTCTTCACACCATTGGGGCCTTCTCGGTGGCCTCCCGGGGCTCTCTGAGGCCGCCTTTGGATGGTCTCGGGGTGCTCTCGGGCCGTCTGGCGCCTCCGGGGGCTGTCCTGGGGGGCCTACGTGGTCCACCTTAGGGACCTCTCGGGGCTCTTCTCGGCGACGAGCGAGGTGGGGAAGTGAGAAGGAGAAGGCCTTCTCAGGAGCCCTCGCGCCTTCTGAGAAGTTGTCTGTGTCTTCGGGGAAGGCTTAGAAAACTTCTCAGAGGGCCCGGGGACTTCCGAGCCTTCTGAGAAGGCCCGCCCTTTCTCTCACTTCCCCTCCTCGCTCGCTGCGTAGTCTTGGGGCTCCCTTGGGTCATCATAGGGCCTTCTTGTGTTCTCATGGTGTCGTCTGGGTGCCGCTTTGGGGCCCTCTTGGAGGCGTGTTCTATTGCCTTGGGGCGATGTTCAGGGCCCCTTGTACTGTCGTGGGTTTTTCAGAAGCCCGAAAAGGCCAGGATTCGAGAACGGTTCAAATACACGTGAGGGAAGTCAATACTTTGGGCCTTTTTGAGGCCTCCTGCAGGTCCTCTTGGAGTTCTCTCGTGGCAGCTTGGGCCGCCTGGAGGCCATCTCGTCAGTCTTGGCGCCAGGCCATCGTGGGCTCTCTTTGGACCATCTTGGCCGTCTTGGAGGCCGTCTTCAGCGCACACGCTATTGAGTCCCAACTTGTAATGCCGTTCCCGGATGGCCAGCGGGTTTGTCTGGAGGCCGCCAGGAATATTTTCGGCAGGAAGAGAGTGGGAGCTATGTAATCTGGCACCCCGCCGCCTCTCTGACAGGAGGCCTCTTGGAGGTCTCCTGGGTATCTCGGGGCCTCCCAGGAGGTGGTGGCCTCTCGGGGCCTCTTGGCGGCCTCATGGGATCCTGCTGGCGGTCTCAAGGGCCTCTCTGGAGCGGAGAGCTTGAAATATCAGTTCGGGTTCGTTTTCGTGGGGGCTGTCTTGGGGGCCTCTGTAGCCGTCTTGGGAGCCTGGGGGGCCGTCTTGGAGCGATCATGGGGGCCTGTTGGGCCGTCTTGGATGTTCTGCAGACCGAAGTGACGAGCATACAAAACAATTCAGGAGCGTGTGGCTTTCAATCATGTGGGCATCTTGGGCTTCCCCCCAGGGCCTCCAAGACGGCCACAACGGCCCCCTAGAGGGCCTCGTAACGGGCCCGGAGACCATCTTAAGCCATGTTATCAGGAGTGGGGATTCCAAACCACGCCTTCGAGTCTTCGTAAAGAAATAGCGCTGGGATTCCCAAGAGCGTCCTGAGTGCCCGGGACCTTCCGCGAGCGTGGTATAGCCAATGCAAAGAAACTCGACAGGACTTGAGGGCACTCCACTCGGCCGAGCACCGCGACTACTCGCGGGGCGCCGGACCCTCCAGCAGGCCTCCGGAGGCAAGCTGACGGAGGGCACCCGGCTCGTGCCTGCACAGCGTGCGGCTCTGAGGCTGCGCTCTTCCCATGTCTGACACCCGACGGCTTCTTCTGTTGGTCTGGCACGTCGTTTGCCCAGCCTGTTCTTCACGAGCAGAAGGGCCACCCGGACGCCTACCTCTGTGCATGCACGCAGCGGCACTCCACTCAGTGCCTTGCGGCACGGTGGCGGGTGAGCCTCGGCCGGGGCACCCCCGGGCTGGGCCCACGGCCAGCAGGGCCCGCGGCCAGGGCACGGCGGCCACCGGGCGAGCACGGCGCTTAAGACGCTGAGGTCGGACGCCCGCCGCCGTGCGACGCCCAGTGCGTGCAGCGGCGCTGTCTGGAGCAGGCTCGGGCCGGCTAGCCATTGGGGCCGGCAGAGGAAGAGGAGGAGGAGGAGGAGGAGGAGGAGGAGGAGGAGGAGGAGGAGGAGGAGGAGGAGGAGGAGGAGGAGGAGGAGGGAGGAGAGGAGGAGGAGGAGGAGGAGGAGGGAGGAGGAGGAGGAGGGAGGAGGAGGAGGAGGAGGAGGGGAGGAGGGAGGGAGGAGGAGGAGGAGGGAGGAGGGAGGAGGAGGAGGAGGAGGGAGGAGGAGGAGGAGGAGGGGAGGGGGAGGGGGGAGGGGGAGGGGAGGGGGAGAGGGGAGGGGAGGGGGAGAGGAGGGGGGAGGAGGAGGAGGAGGTCGCAAGCAGAGAGAAGGGGGACAACGGCATCGCCGCTGGTCAGCCCTGCTGACGCTGACGAAGCTTCGGGCCGCCAGCCTGTCGTGTTCTCTCTCTCCTTGCCATGCCTTCTCCCTCCTCCCGGTGAGGCTGCCCCTGTTCGGCCGTAGTCGGGGCGGCTCCAGGGCGCAGCCTGAAACTGGAGATACCGTGCCCTTCGGTCCGCCCGCTCATTCGACAGGTTTTCCTCTGGACGGAGTTGTGCACACGCGTTCGGCGCTGCGCAGCCGAGGTGAGTGACCAGCATTCCCTGCGTTGTGGCAGTGGAACTCACAGACACCGCGCTCTCCGTGACAGACATCTGGCCATTCGACATGTCCGTTTCACTTGTCAACCAGCTGGTGACTGAGCTCACCTCTGTGCGGACCGGAGCATCCGTTCTCAGGAGTTCCCTTCGGGCCGACAGGGACCTCCCCAGTAGCCCCCCCACCCAAAGAAGCATGCACCAGTTGATGCTTCAGGCGTGCGCAGTTCTCCCCACTTAATTTAGGGATCGCCCTCAGCGTGACAAGTGGATCCCACCCGCATTGGTCTCCTCCTCCCTCTCCTTCCCGTCCTCTTCTCCTTCCACCTTCTCGGGGCAAGGGAGAAGGCGGAAAGGGGAGGTGGAGGCCGTTCTTTTTTCCGGACGGGTTTTCTCTCGTCCCTGATCTTGGCCGCCCGCGTCTCCTTCTCTTTGGGCCCCTTGTATTCCCCTTCCGCCTTCTCTATTTCCTGCTCGTCCTCCCCGTCCGCTTCAGCTCTCGCCAGGTACATCCTTGCCATCACGGGCCAGCGCCTTCGCGATCTTTTTGTGGACAAGCTGCAGAAGATCGCTATTGGCAGTGGCTGGGGGGAGGCCTTGAAAGTGGAGTGTACGCATGTGTGTTTGAGAGAGAATCGTACATAATCGTACTGCCCAGGGCTAGGGACGAATGAAGAATGTCAAGGAAGGGATGCGTGGGACAAGAGGGCGTATGAGAGAAGAGGTGTAGTGGGGTATACGGTATATTCGCGCCCCTTGCAGACTACCCTTGCGTCACGCCGTTCATGCTGCTCTGTTGTTTCTAAGCTAATGTCTTGCGCCCCGTATGGACACATGTGTGCGGAGAGGGGCGATGACATACCCACTGTGGATATGTGTGACGCGGCGGTGCAAACCAGATGGGCGAAACCCCGCCTTGGGCGCCTTGTAGGTGACTTGCCGTGATGTGCAGACGGCACACCCTGTAGTCCTGGCTGGTTCCTGCTACGATGCCCACGTCACTGCTGCGATGCCCATCAACCGTTCGGCTTATGTAGGATAATTTGCTTGTTAGGAACTCCTCCTCGGTCGTGTCGGTGTATCCTGACTGGTCGGCTGCTGGGTCTGTCTTTGCACCGGCCTCCACCAGTCCGTCCAGAGTTTGCACCATGTCGTCGTAGAGCATTCCCCAGGTGCCAGGAAGCTCCCGACCGACTCGCCACATCTCCGCCACTGCGTCACACAGGCTGGGCAGCTGGGGCGTCTATGTACCGAGCTCCTTGGCCGACCAAACGACGTGGTTTATACACCGAGACCCTCCCAGTACTGGTAGTCTCCCTGAGGTAGGTGGGCAGCTTGTCCACAGATCCCGCCATCGTGAATTCGTGTGGGCCGAGTTTCATGGCGAGCAGAGCTCTCTGATTCAAGTAGTCTTCGTGCAAACGGCCGCCGTGGGTCGTTCTTATTGATGCAGGCCCAAGCAATACCGTCGCCTTGAAGCTCTCTGACCATGTGGACGCCCAGCCTGCTCACTCAAGTAAATGACGTTTGGTAACACCATTATATTTCATCGATTTTGTCATAATAGTTAGTTTCGCTCTGCTTAGGTCCGTGGTCGTCCAGCCCCGCTGCACAATCTCAGCAGACGGTTGCCGACGATGTGCTTAGCAGCCCCGTTTTTCATCCACGCTTACTGGCTGGCCGCCAGGGCTTCCAGCCATGAAGCATGTCGGACGGAACGCGCAGACAGGATGCGCGTAGGACACGTGGGAGCCGACGAAGTGGTGTTGTCTCTGCAGGCGCGCCTCGAGCGCGCTCCGAGCCGTGCTCGAAGAGGGGCCTCACTCGTGAGCCAGCACGAGCTGCACGAGTCCGAGTTGTCATCGCTTCCAGCTGGAGAGCATGCTGCGTGCTGCAGATCGGGGAGGGCGGATGGACGAGAGGAGCGGCTGGACTTCTGCGCCCCCGAGGGAGCCGCGAGGTCCCAAGTGGATCCCCAAGGGCTCCCTCGAGGGCGCGAAGTTATTCGCGCTTCGCGCTTCGCGGTCCTCGTTCCTTCTCCCCCTCCTCCTCGTCCTCCTTTTCTCCCTTTGGGGGGGCGGCGCGAGAGCGCGAAGTTATTCGCGCTTCGCGCTTCGCGCAGCGCGAAGCGCGAAGTTGGGAGCCCTAGATCCCCGTGTCCCTCCATTCTGCGGGACCTCCCAGGAGCCCACGAAGGTGGCGACGGGTTGCGCACTTCGCAGCCCCCCCGAGGGGGCCGCGAGGTCCCAAGTGGATCCCCGTGTCCCCCCACTCCGCGGGACCTCCCAGGAGCCCACGAAAGTGGCGACGGGTTGCGCACTTCGCAGCCCCCCAGGGACGCAAGCAGGACGAAGGAGAGAAGGGATGAAGAAGAGAAGGGAGATGAAACATGATGCAGGAAGCAGGAGGCAGCAAGCATGAGGGGGGGGAGGAGGAATGATACTCGAGCGCAGTGCTTTATTCGAAACGAGAACCCAACACAGGAGGGTTGTTGGGAATCATGGTATTCACTATCCTCCCCTCATGTTTCCTCTTACTCAATATCGCCCTACCGTGCGAATTGGTCCCTCATCCTCCTTAGCTCTATGTTCGGAGACTCTTCCTTGGAGAGCCTCTTTGGGGCCTCACGAAGGTTTTAGGACTTCTTGCGGCCTTTAAGAAGCCTCCTGGGTTCCTTCTGGGGGCCTCTGGGGGCTTTCTTGGGCCACTGCTTCCAACCGCGGTCTCCCTGAACGACCGGGTCACGATTTACAATGTTTCGGGGGGGAGTCTTGGAGCCATCTTGGGCCGTCGTTGGGCTCTCGTTGGCCATCTTGGGGCCCTGTTCTGCCGCCTTGGGGCTCTCTAAGGCTGGCTGGAAGCCCTTCGGATTAGTTTGGGGGCGATTTTCTGGCCGCCTGGGTGGTCTCGGACGTCCGAACGAGCATTCGCCGAATCATGCGGAAACCATTGGAAGTCAATTTGTTGTTGCGTTTCGAAGGCCTCTTGGGGGTCTTCTTTGGGTCGTCTTCGGGCGTCTCGTAGATGTTTGGGACCTCTTAGGGCACTCGCGGAGCCGTTCGGCCGCCTTCCTGACCGATTTGGGCCCGCTGCATACGCGCAGCAGGGGCTTCCGGGAGTCCCAGAAAGCCCAGGGTCCAGATTTTTTGTTGGGGGGGTCCCACCCTCTTGGAATGTAAGATATCGATAAGAGGATTTGCCCACCCACCCATAATTATCAGTTCACCTGGGCCGGCACGGAAACGGAAAGAGCGCCTCAGGAACTGGCCCGAGAGGGCTCATGGCACCCTTCGCTGTTGGGAGCCTTGGTGCGAAGAGCTTGTTACGTCGCCGCTCTCCGTTGGGAGCCCTGGTGTTCAGAGACTGTTACGTTGCCGCTCGCACTTGGGAGCTTTGGTGTGACGAGCTTTGTAAGTCACCGCGCTCTGGGGAGCCTTGGTGTCAAGAGCTTGTTACGTCACCGCTCGCTGATGGGAGCCATGGTGTTCTTGAGCGTCTCCTGGGCCTCGTCGGGTTCTTCTTGGGGCCCTTTTGGAGCCCTTCGGCAGCCCTTTTGGGGCAAGTTTGGGCCGTCTTGGGGCCCTTTTGGGCCGTCTTCGGGCGTCTTGGAAGCCTTTTGCCGTCTTGGGGCTCTCTTGGGGTTCTCTTGGGGCCCTCTTGGGAGCCTCTTTGGACCGTCTTGGGCTCTCTTGGGGCCGTTTTGGGACCCTCTTGGGGCAGTCTTGGGGACATCTGGGGCTGTTTTGGGGCCCTCTTGGGCCGTCTGGGTTTGCTCTTGGACTGTTTTCCGGCTCTTTGGGGGGCTTCTGGGGCCGTCTGAGGACGAGCGTTGGGACCTCATGGACCGTGTTGGGCCCGTCTGGGCCCGAACAGGCCGCTTCACTACAACAAATATGAGAAAACGGGCCGTGGAAGGCGCCCGCGAGCCGCTTCATTCAAAAAATACAAGGGCAACGGCCCCCCCGGCGGACATGAAACGCCGGAAGGTCCGGCCCTCGCCCCTCACCTGGACCCCTCCCTAGAGGGCTTCGCCCCACCAGAACGTCATCACTCGTACCTCGCTCTTTCCGTGATCTATGTGCGACACGAAAGATTCGCGCAGAACGCAGGACACGACCAACAGCACTGGGGCGCACCACCACCACCACCATACCAACACGGGACAACCAGCCAGTAGACACTGGACAACCGCATGCGACAATTACGAGGAACCTGCAGGACAACCACGGGACGTCAAGGGGACGACAACGGGACAATCAGGGAACAACCGCAGGAAATCGTTGGGAGTCAGCACACATATTGAGCAAGCAACGGGTCAGTCATGCAGCAGTTGGCGGCGTGGTTACTGTTGTTGTCCAAGAGGGTCGTGCGGTGAGGGCAATGCAGCTCGGTGTCATCGGACAACGATTGCAACCAGCAAGTCGCAGTTTCGGGCACATCGATCAGCGTTCTAAGAGCACTGGCGAAACGCTCAAGCATGAAGCAGACATGCAGAACGCACCATCAAGCAGGCGCATCTAGGCAGCAGCACGACAAGCGGAGCACTGCTCCTCAAGGCAAACCCTCAGTCAACCAAGCCATGTAAGATAAGGTAGCGTGGGACGCACGTACGATCACATGTGTGCAAGCATGCGAGCGAGCCCAGACGCAGCCCACCGATCACGTAGGACACACATATCCCCACACAAGGACACATGCACACACCCGACGGCGCTAATGCGCAGACGCGCGCCCAGGAGATGACCGACAACAAACATCGCCAGAAACCAAAGCAGACAACATCGCCAGAAATCACAACAGGGGCACACACGAGTAACACGCACACGCTGACGAAGTCTACTGGTAAGCGCTTCGGTATCTTGGCAAACTGTTGAATTCAGTCGCAGAAACGCCTGCGCACAGAGGTTACAGGCAAGACTTTACGAAAGCAACCAAGAACGCATACATAATTGTGTGTACATACTGAGAGGCGAATAGATATAGAGGATGCTGACGCATCTGCGTAATCTTGAGGCGTGGCAATAAGTGGCGAACATGTTTAGGTAGTGTGGGTAGGTCTGGAAAGGATCGTTCGAGGAGGGGGTCAGATCAACCATACACACCCATGGGATGATGTGTCTGGAGGGTAACGGAGAGGGTGAGCCTCGTTGGAACGAATATGTATCCAGGAGGTGAATCAGCAGGAATACCATTAGTACCAGTAACGCATGGCCTAATAACAGTCAGGAGGGCCGGTACTCAGACGTTTGTTTGACCATCATGTTCCATATCCATTCCCCAGCAGCCTCGATCTGACAGTTTTTCTCAGGTGGTGTCCGAGTGCACTTCCCGCACTTGTACATCAATTTGCAGGCGCGGAAGGTGCACCCGATGCCCACAGACGTGCAGCTACAGGTAGCCCTGTCCCAGTGCTTGCACAATCAGTCGGTACTTATCCTTACATGCGTTGTATCCTCTATCTTAGCTCTTCGGCGTCGTCCTCATCGCGCCTGGTACTCCTTGGGTCCCAGAAGGCTCTGTGGAAGTCGTGTCAATTCAACGGGGCTAATATATTGCGCGAGGCCAAAGCCAGCGCCACTTGGCCTTCATGCTGAAGGTGTACCGTCTCCCGGATCTCCTCCTCGTTCGTTTGACCACAGCCCTCACACAATTCTTGCCTAATCTGGGGGTGAATGCCTCGCACCTGCCTGGAACGCTCTCCGAGCCGCTCCGAGCCCTGAGTCCAGCCGATGAAGCTCATTCCGAGCTGCTGTCCCTCTTCCTTTCCCCATTCCTCTCCCCTCACTCCCAGTCTCCCCCCTCCTTAGGTCGCTCCTCGCTCCTCCCTTGTCCTCCCATCCCTCTCCCACGCCTCCGCTTGCCTCCCCTGCCCTCCCGTGCGCTCGTCTGCCCTCTTCCCGGCCGCCCATCGCATCTCCTTGCCACTCCCCTCCGCTGCCCTCCCCTTCCCTCCCCTGCCCCCATCCTGTCCCCTCCCCTCCCAGGAGGTGGAGGTCAGCCTGACCTCCACCTCAAGGGAGGGGAACTCCTGACCTCCCCTCGCTCTCGATCCCTGGCGCTCTCTGGCAGAGGGTGCCGAGGATCGAGAGCCCAGTTCTCCGGATCGCCCTCGGGCCCCCGGGGAGAGGCCTTTGGCGATCTGCCTCCTCCCCCTTGCCTTACGTCGGGCCTTTCCCCCTACAGGACGAATATTCAAATATAGGCAATCAATACTCTGGGGACGATTATTTTAGTTTTTTTTTGGGGGGGGGGGTATTTAGCAGGTTTTTTGTTTGTTTTATTTTTCGTCCAAACTCCCCCTGTAGGGGGACATGCCCGACCTCCCCCTTGCCCTGCGGCCCCCGCCCGTCAGGCCCGGGTGGACGGGTGTCCCAGACGTGGGCTCGGCGGAGGCTCGAGCCGCCCTGCTGGTACCGGGGGCGACCAGGAGGGGGGTGACGACCAGGGGGGCGTGGATATCAGGGCGGGGGCCATGATGACTCTCCCAAGATGTCATGGCGCCCCTTCTTCTCTCAATGCGTGACTGCGTCCCCGGGCCCCCCCCCCCCCTGGGCCGCGCACGTGCCGCCAGCCATGATTTGCGCCCCCCCCTCTTGGACGCCCCCCTCCTTGGCCGCCCCCGATGGTGACCCGACTGGCGTCCACTGGGTGCAGCCCAGACCCTGAAATCAGGACCACCCTGGAGTCGGAGGAAGGGCTCTGGTCGTCGAGCCGCTCCTCATATCCAGGCTCTGGGCCGAGAAGCTGTTTCGTGGCCGAGGTTCGCCGTGGCCAGACAGGCCCCCTGCATGCGCTGTTCCGCGGCGAGGGTTTATACATGGTCCAGGCTTGGCTCCCCCCCAATGCTAATGCCATCGCCCCCCCCCCCCCCCCCCCGCGCGATGCCCCCCCCTCCCCCCCAGGGCTTGGGCCCCCCCCCCCCCCAATGCTAATGCCATCGGCCCCCCCCCCCCGCGCGATGCCCCCCCCCCCCCCCTGTGGGCGTGGCGTGGTGGCCCTCCCCCTGTGGGGGTGGTGGCTTCCGTGTGGACGACGACGACGACGACGACGACGACGACGACGACGACGACGACGACGACGACGACGACGACGACGACGACGGCGGCGGCGGCGGCGGCGACGACGACGACAGCGTCAGCATCGGCATGGGCATCGGCGCCGCCTCCCTCTGGGTATGGCGTGGTGCTGCAGTGCTGCAGGGAGCCGAAGCGGGCGTCTTCGTCGTCGCCGCCGCCGCCGCCGCCGCCGCTGTCGTCGTCGTCGTCGTCGTCGTCGTCGTCGTCGTCGTCGTCGTCGTCGTCGTCGTCCCCCCCCATCCCATCTGGGGGGAGGGGCCCGAGGAATCCTGGGACCATGCCATCTGGGGGGGGGTGGGCCCGTGGGTCCGGAGCCCGGGATCATACATAACCACCGCCTGGAGGATCAGTGTTCGGAGACCTCGACAGGCGGCGGGTATGAATATCTTCGGGTCCCCTGGGGCCGAATTGTATCCACATCCACCGCCCGCTGGGGTCCCAGGACGTCGGTTCCACAGGCGGTGGCTAAGGATAGATCCCAGCCTCGCATTTTCGCATTTGTAGCGTTCCTCCCGGCAGCGCGACGACTGCAGGAGGAGGCTCGGGATGTCGCCCGCCGCCTCGACGCTGCGCCTGCCCCCCGCGCCACCCCTCTGCGGGAGGCGCCGCGTGCGGGGGGCGCCGGCGGCGGGGCCCAGGTCGAGGCCAAGATCAGGAGACTGGAGAGGTGGACCTCGCTGGAGAAAGCCCACGTGCTGATGGCGCCCTGCCCGCAGGGGTTATCCCGGGGGGGAGAGCCGCGGGTGCGCCACCGGCACATGCGGTCCAGAGGTTCGCGCCTCACTCGCGCAGGCTTGGCGAGGTCGCGCTGGCTGGAGGACGAGGCAGATGAGGAGCAGGAGTAAGAGGAGAGGAGGAGTCGGAGGAGGATGAGGAGGAGAAGGGGTGAGGTATAAGCGCGGAGATGGTGGAGGAGGACAAGGGGAAGGTGGACCAACACGCGTATATGCTGAAGGGTGAGGTCGGCTACCACCGAATTGCCCAACACCCAGCGACGCCCGCTCATTGTGTGCATCTTGCGCCAGCTGTGCAATACGTGTTGTTTACACGCTCAGCGCAATCGGGCTGCTCGTGGCACTCTTGCGGTGCCTTCCCGCCCAGCGTCTCATTGTTCTGGTTCTGGATACGGTAGTGTAACCTCGCATTGCGATCTCTCACACACCCAGCCCTCCCTAGAGACGGCAGGGTTTTCCAGTGAACGACGTCTCGGCCGAGTTCCACAAGGGACGGCTTTGCAGTTAAACAGTCCATAGGAGCCCGCGTCGAACGTGCACTTTCTGTTTTCGATTGCCCGCGTCTTGTTCGGGCCACCCCACTACTGCCCCCATCTCGCTGTCAGCTGTTGGATTATGGCCTGGCTAGGTCGCTTAAAGCAATAAAGCAAACCATCCGCTTCCCAGTCCTCTTCCACCGTTGCCGCTGATTCACTCAATATTCCATTCTTTCTCTTCCGCCCCAGCCATGTGCACCAAGAGCCCAATGCGCTTAACGCAGGGCTCTGCACTGATGGCCCAGGATTTGAAAATTCCTGCCGACGAAGATTATTGACGACAAGGTCAGACGTTGGGCCCGTTTGCGCTTATATGAGTGTCCGCACTCGCGATTGGGGAAGCAGTGAAGTAACGACGCCTCCCTGCAAGGCTGCGGCGTCGGGCCTGAATCCGCAAGCCTCCTTGCATCTGGCGCTCAGTGTAGGAGGGGCTGGGTATTGTCGTGTAGGGGGCAGCATACTGCGAAAAGAAGAGTGATGACGCACCTTCCTCGCCGCAAAGCCCTCTTGTGGATTTGTACTCACCTCTCGCGGCACACGTCCGCGTTGCAGACTCTGTGCAGTACCCGAATGCGTGCTGCCAAAGCTTGCCTTCACAAGCCTTGGAAGGAATTGTGTGTCTATTGTCTGTTCGGGTTGCTACCGCCAAAATTGTTTCTTGCCTTGAACAGGATTCGCGCCGGGCACGCCCGCCACCGTTCCCAATGGTCGCGGGAAGAAGCACGACAGAAGTATTTTGGAGATTTGGTGACATGAAATCAAAAGTTTTCTCATACAGGCGATTGGCCTCCTGTCGGACTGCAAGCGAACGGTCGACGAGCAACGGGCTGCTAGCATTCCGGCGCGCATCTTCTGGAGGGGGAGGGGCGGGCGTATTCGACAGTTTTTTTTCCGCCGACGCCCGCTCGCCGATGGCAGACCCGCCGCCAATCCAGCAGACCCAGACCCCCGTGAGTCACGTGTTGTTAATGGCACTCGTGCTGTATGTTTTTGTTCGGCGATGCCTTGGTTTTTTCGCGTTCCATGGTTCATAGTTGAAAAAATGGTGCCTTGACTTTTTCGCTTCGACGGCGCATGACAAGCTTTTGGCATGCCTTGATAGCCCGTGCCAATCCTTGATGCCCCTACCCCCTGGCAGGCCTTAAACAGTATCGGGGTTTGTCAAGGCTTAGGGCTGTTGTCAAGGTTTGAACGCTGACCGATTGGATCTCCAAGTTGACACTCGTCTGGGCGTTTCCTACGATGGACCATAGAGAGCTCCACGCGCGCGCGCTGAGTTTTGCATTCTGCACAAATGAATCATCGCCATGTTGGTCTGGAAATACACATGAGCCTTCAGCGGTGACCGACAGGATTTTGGAGGACCCGCGCGGCGGGCGGGTCTCCCGCCGCGCGTGCGCGCTCGCCATGTGAGATCTGTAATGTCCACGGTAGTGGGTCTGGAAACTGAAGTAAAATTTTAACGGTGACGAATTGAATTTGGAAGTGAACGTGGGTTCTGGTGTACGATTTCAGGCATGATCCGTGCAGAAATCCCCCACGCGCGCACGTAAGGAGTTCTGTATTGTCCACAATGGGAAACCCAAGTGGCCCTTTAGGGGTGACCGACCAGGTTTCGGGTGATCCGCGCAGTGGGCGGGTCAACAGCCGCGCGTGCGCGCTCGCGTGGTGGGTTCTATATTGTCCACGATCGGAAAAAGGCGCCATGTCGTCTTGAAAACGAAAGCGAACCCTTGGCGGTGACCGGCAGGATTTCGGGTGACCCGCGTGGTGGGCGGGCCACCCGCCGCGGGTGCGCTCGCGCGTGGCGAGTTCTGTAGTGTCCATAATCGGAAAATCGCCATGTTGGGCTGGAAGCTAGAATGAGCCCTCAACGGTGACAGACGTTATGTGGAAGTTGACATGGGTTCTGGTGTCAGAACTCCCCACGCGCGCGCGTGAGGATTTCTGTCTTGTACCCAGTGGAACAGTAAGTATGCTGATTTGGGAACGCAAGTGGACTTTCAGCAGTGGTCGACAGGACGTCGGGTGACTTGCGCGGTAGGTGGGTCACCCGCTGCGCGCGCGTTACGAGTTCTGTGATGTCTACAGTAAGAAAGGTGCCGTGTTGGCCTGGAGACTAAAGTGACCGCGTAGATTTCATCACATAGTTTACAACACAGGTTACACAACAGCTTACAACACATAGCTTATCACGCAATTTCCAGCACAGAATTTGCACAGCACAGCTCACACCACGTAATTCGCACCACAAAACTTAAGCCGCATGTGTTGCATCACGTAGCTATCACCGCACAGCTTACACCACATAACTTGACCGCAACATTGCCGTCGCACCACGTAGCCTACGCAAACTCATTGCCATAGCTACAATTGATTGGGTCCACGCTAGCAGACATCTTTGTACACGACTGGTTCATCGTAGTTCCGAGCAGTGTGAACCCCATACTCTGTAGGCAGTTATCCATGCGTTACTGTCTAGAATTGCATCGTTTCTTGCATTGTCTCTCGCCCCCCTCTCCGAAGTCACGCGGGCTGCCCAGGCGCCCCACAAGCAGACGTTGTGCTACATTCTTGCCTACGCCATTACGCGAGCGAAGGCCAGAAAAGGGGACCACTGTTCAAATGTGTGAACATGCCCGCGTGGTCGGGATAGGGGGGCGTGCGCGTCCCCGCGCTTGTGTCGAGATGTGGGTGCGCATGATGTGAAACTGCGGGCGCGCGCAGTGCAGGGCTGTGTGCGTGCGTGTTTGCCTGCGCGCGTGGCTGTGTGTGTGCGAGTGTGGTTATGTGCCCTATCATTGCGTGCAAACCGCGGCGCCACAAACAAGTGTGTGTGTGTGTGTGCGCGTGTGTGCGTGTGTGTGTGTGTGTGTGTTTGCGTGTTTGTGTTTTTGTGTTTTTTTGTGTGTTAGAATGTGTGTGTGTGTGGTGAGGATGCCGCTGTTCGTCTCCCCCCACGTGCCGAAGTCTTCAACACTGTGTAGGATGCGTCGAGATCCGGGGGGCATGATTGGTCTCCTCCCCCCTTCATGCGGTTCTCTGCAGGGGGCATCGAGGCGCCTCTGGATTATGCCCCGTCGAGGTGTTTCTGCCGCGCTACCCTGTGTAGGCCTTCGCGCGCGCGCGGTCTCGCTCACTCTCGTCTCCCAGCTGCTGCCGTTTCCGTTTGTTCGCTTCCGGGGGCCAGACCCCGCCGAGACGCCGCGCGACCGGCCGCCGATCAAAAGTGTGTGTGTGTGTGTGTGTGTGTGTGCGCTAGTGTGTTTTCTACGCCCGGTCGCCGCGCGCGCGTGGCCGCGACGCCAGAAGTGTGCTCGTGTGTCTTCCCCCAAGTGGTTTCTGAGAGCTCGGCCGAGCGTAAACGCGCGCGCACCGCTGCTCGCACTCGAACTTCTACGTCCCGTCGCCGCGCGCGGGGCCGCGACGCCAGCAAGCTTGTGTGTGTGTGCGTGTTTCTATGTGTGGGTGACACGGCGCCATTCGGCGAGTGTGGCGTAGATGGGCCATGCCGCTGGCGTTTCTCGCTCCCTCATCTTTTCTCCTGATCTTCCATCTGGGCACGCTCTGATCGAATCAGCATGTTCCTTGAGCTCTGATCCTGGATGCTCGCGTTGTCTTGTCCCTCATCCTGGATAACATGGTCGGCGGCGGGCCCAAGGAGGCAGGCAGAGGGTCGCGGGCCTTGGCGAAAGGCTCAGAAGGCTCCGGGCGTTCCGAGAAATCTTCCAAGCCTTCTCTGAAGCCCCACCGATTTCCGAAAAGGCCTGCCCCCTTCTCGCTTGCCCCATCTGCGCGCCGCCGACATGTATTGGGCGCTCGAGCTGTGTCGGCACACCTTCGACAGCCACCTCATCGGGCGCATCCGCGTGAGCCGAAGACCGGCCGATGCCTCGCCGCCGCGAGCGGAGGGACCAGTGTTCTGCCTGTGCGTGTGCGCACACACCGCTGTCGGCCGACTCTTCGCCAGCGAGACCCGCAGCAATGCAGCTCGGAGGCTGCTTCCACCATCGCGTCGGAGGAAGAGTGCGCCATGTAATATTTGGTTGCCGATGTTATTCAGGGCCGAGACGTCGACGATGTCTCCTCACAAGAGTCATGGTACGTTGTCACATCATTGGAATGTTCTAGGCACCAGCGTGCGAGTGTGTGCTCAACGCACCTGCAGGTTCGGCATCGCTGTGACTCGGGCTCGTCGACCCGTGGACGCCCGTGAGGGCTCCTTCCCTGGCCGCGTGCGATCAAAAGACCTGTGAAACCTCTGTGTGTGCGTGTTTGTGTCGGGGCGACGCGGAGGACGCCCAGCCCGTGGTCGGGCCCCCCCCGCCCCCTCGTGTCCTTGGCGCGTCTGGGCCCCTGGGCATCTCGGGGTCGGCCTCCGCGATCAACCCGAGGGGGCTCCATTCCCAAGGGGGCGCGGTTGCTGCTGCGATGGCGGCGGCTTAGCCGGCCACGGCGCGGACGGGGTCGCCTTCTCACTCGCTCCCGTCCCCCGCGGCCCGCGTCTCGTCGTGCCAGCTGGTCCGTGGGCGCATCTGCGCCAGTGGAGGACTGGCGCTGGAGCAATGCCATGCCGAGCAAGCAGCACCAAGCGCCCGTTCGGGGGCGCGCAGCGTTCCGCAGGTTCTCTCTCTCTCTCTCTCTCTATCCCCCCTTTCTTTTTCGAGCTGATGTATTTGACCTTCCCAGATGGACTGGGTGATCCAGGTAACAGCGACGCCTACGGCGAACCACCGCCGCCCCGTGCCTGTTAAACTCGCCTATGCGGCACCAAGCTATTGGGCTTTGTGTTCCCCCAGCCGTTGTGGAAACACTTGGAGGATGAAGAGAGAGAGAGAGAGAGATTCCCGCGTACGGGAGAGTCGTGCAACGGACGGGAGCACGGGCCAGCATACCAGAACATTGGGAGAGGTCAGGTTTGACCCCCGTGGCAGTGGGGGGTCTCAGCTAGCTTCACGCCCCGAGGGCCGCTTGCGCCCCTCTGAAGCGTGACACTCGGCCTCCGACTCGAGGATGCGGACGGCGACCACGCGAGAGCAGCCGCGCTCGTCGTGGTGGATATGGTGATGATGATGGTGATGATGCTGCTGCTGCTGCTGCTGATGATGATGATGATGATGATGATGATGATGGTGATGGTGATGGTGATGGTGATGGTGGTGATGGTGGTGGTGGTGGTGGTGAGGATGAGGATGAGGATGAGGATGAGGATGAGGATGAGGATGAGGATGAGGATGAGGATGAGGATGATGATGATGATGATGATGATGATGATGATGATGATGATGATGATTGATGATGATGATGATGATGATGATGATGATGATGATGATGATGGATGATGAGGAGGAGGAGGAGGAGGAGGAGGAGGAGGAGGAGGAGGAGGAGGGGTGGCGGCATCCGCGCGCCAGCCTGCGCCGCACCAGCGCGTCCGCCAAGCGCTGCCGCTCCACATCCGCCACGGCCATGGCGGACAGGGAGGGCGTCCGCCCAACAGTCGTCCACCAGTTCCTGCTGGCTTGTCATAAACGGCAGCTGGCCCACTGTCACGTGCGTGTGGTGCACCGGCAGGCGCCTGCCGCGCGCGGCGGCGCCGCCTCCGCGGCAGGTGGCCGCCGCCCGCGCCCTCGATCCCCATGCGGATCATCTTGGGCGCCCCGCCTCCGCCAGCAGGCGTCCCTCAGCCGCAGCGCCCTGCGCGCCGCAGCCCAGCCCACCAGCGCCGCCCGCCGCTCCGCCGCGCCCGCGCCGACGCCGCCGAAGGCGACCAGCGCGGAGGCCCAGGGCAGCGGCGCCTCCGCCACCATGTGCGCGGGCCGCACCGCCGCAGGGCCGGGCCGGCCGGCCACCGCAGCACGAAGCAGGCCTTCCGCCGCCCGCAGCAGGCGCGCCCCCGACGGGGAGCGCCCTGCCGCAAGCCCAGAGGCGGCCTGGGCCGCGAGGAGGGCTCCACGGGCGGCCTCGACGGCGCCGCAGAACTCTGCACTCGACTGCGTACCTGGTGTCGGCGAAGCGGCGACGACCTGAGGGGTGACGGTGACGTGACGCTTGAGCCCAAATGGCTTGAGCCAGAATGGCTGAATGTATTCATGTAGACATACAAGGCTGCAGTGGCGCTTCGCGCCATGCACCGTGGTCCTTGAAGTTTGGTGTGCAGGCGGAATAGCAGGAAGGTGAAGCCGACAATTTAGCGATAACTCCTTGTTGCCTTTTCCGGCATCGCCGCTATGACAATAATATTATTCGTTATCCTTCCTCCATGCTTCTTATTCTTCATTTTCGCCATACCCTGCGCATTCTCCCCATCCTCCTCAGCTCTTTTTTGCGGAGGCTCGTCCTTGGAGAGCCTCTGGGGGCCTCACAAAAGTTGTTTCAGGCTTTCTGAAGGCCTTCTGGAGGCCTCCTGGGCGTATTCTAGGGGCCTTTGGGGGCGTCCTCGGGCCACCCTGCCTCCAACCGCGGTCTCCCTGAACGACCGGGTCACGATTTGGAATGCTTCGGAGGGTGTCTTGGGGCCATCTTGGGCCGCCATGGGGCTCTCTGAGGGCCATCTTGGACCCGTGTTGTGCCGTTTTGGGGCTCTCTTGGACTGCCTGGAAGCCTCTCGAATGGTTGTGGGGCGATTTTGGAGCCTCCAGGCGGCTGAACGCTGTTGGGGAGCGTCATGAAGCCGAAAAGAGGAGAACCCCAAAATTCACCAAAACCCGACAGAAAATCAATGATGTTTGCCTCTGGCCTTCTTGGGAGTGCTCTTGGAGGCCTCTTTGGGGCCGTCCTGGAGGCCTCTTGGGCCATCTTGAGGTCACGTCGGTCACTCTTGGAGCGCTCTTGTGCTGTCTTGGGGGTCTCTGGGACGTCTCCGACCCCCCTGATCGCCCCAGGTGTGCTGGGAAGGCTTGGCAAAACGCCCTGCGAGGCCTGGGGGGCCGCTTCGAGGCCCGTCTGGAGGGTCCCAAAGCCCCAGATCCCGGGAGTCCGGTTTTGGGGGTGGGGGGGCGGGTGGGGGGTGTTCCCCCCGCCCGGGCTTGCAAAACTATAGGAAGAGGAATATGTATGTATGTATGTATGTATGTATGTATGTATGTATGTATGTATGTATGTATGTATGTATGTATGTATGTATGTGTGTGTGTGTATGTATGTATGTATGTATGTATGTATGTATGTATGTATGTATGTATGTATGTATGTATGTATGTATGTATGTATGTATAAGTACATATGTGTAGACAGAAGGAGAGAGAGAGAGACAGACAGACAGACAGAGATAGAGACAGAAAGAGCGAGATAACAAACAACGAAAGAGAGAGAGAGAGAGAGAGAGAAAGAACGAAAGAGCGCATTGATGAGGGCGGGCCGAAGTCCGTCCGCGGGCGAAGGTTACACGCTTCTCCTGCCCGCGCCTCTCCGGCGAGAGGAGCCGCTGGCAGGGGGACACAACCAGACCTCCCCCCTGGCGCGGTCGAGACGGGTCCCCGACTGAGGAGCAAGAGAGCGGGCTGTGACGATGAGGACGCGACTCGCCCCTGCTACACCAGCTGAAGGAGAAAGAGGCACCGGCTTTCAGCGCGCTTGGGCTTGCGCGCGTCGGAGCCCTGAG